GGGGGGAGGCAGGAGGCCATCCGGCAGCCCAGCCCCAGATCAGATAAGCGTGTTTGCGTGGAGCACACGCTGGACTTTGCCCTGCCCTCCCGCCTCGCTGTGACTGGCACCGGGAGTGGGGGAGGTGGACAGGAGAGGCGCCTGGGAGCCCCTGGGAGCAGGAGGGAGGAGCTTGGGGAGAGGTCTGGGGGGTCTGGGCAAAGTGAAATGTTCTTGAGTCCCTTTGACAAGTGAGGCTCACCTGTCTGAGCCTCAGTTTCCTCCCCCGTAAGGTGGACATATTAGTACTGACTTCCGCAGGCGGCTGTAAGGTTCAGGTGGCGGCTGTCGGTACAGCGCCAGCTCACAGTAAATACGCAAGAAACACTGGTCTCATGGCTGTCATTGGCCCAGGCGGACGCTGCTGCGCGGGCTGCGACCAGCTCACGTTCAGCGGTCCCTCCTGCCTCGCCTCTCTGCCTGTGGGCACTGCAGTCAGAGGGCCAGGGCTGGTGCAAGGCTCTGCGGCCCGCGGTTCGGAGGGCATTGCCAGGGGCAGGCAGACTGGTCCTCTGAGGACTGGAGAAGGGCTGGGGGAGAGGCAGCGGGGGTGGGCTTCCGAGCACTGGTGGGGTGTTTGCTTTTCCTTTTTTAGAATTGTTTTAAATAGTATATCTGCATGTGCTGGGTATTACATAACATGTAATAGTTGCATAGTTTTAAAAGTGTGGCCCAGTAACAAAGAACTGCCCCCGTCCCGTCCTCAGCTCTCCATCCCCCCGAGGCTGTGTGGCCAGTTCCTTCTGTGACCTTCTGCTGTGTCCTGCAAACACAAATACGTGGAAATCTCTTATCCCATTTTAAATGTTCCGCGGTCGCCGCCCAGCAAACCTACCAACTGCCCCACCTGGGCGCTGACGAGCGTCCCCGGCGGGGCCCGCAGGTGCCGACCCGAGGCCCCGCAGCTCAGTTCGTCAGCATCCTTTCTGGTGGTTCCCAAGCTACATGGTGACAAACCGCCTCCTACACAGGCCGTTGCCACATGTGCACATATCAGCAGCCTCCACTATAGAATAAACGGCTGAGCAAGGGCGTGAGGACCCGGGCCCTGGGCCCTGGCAGCCCTGGGTTCCATCCCCGTCTGTCCAGCTCTGCTGTGGGAGCTGCTCTTCCCGGACACATATTTGTAACTGACAGGGACAGGCGAGGGGAAGCAGCTGAGCTGGAGCAGGGCGGGGGGAGAGCGTACATAGCAGAGGCGATCTGACCCCTTCCTTTCCACAGTCACCAGAGGACAGAAATACGGACACAGGTGGCCTCCGGTCACCCGTCTCTAGTGAGAGCATCTCAGCCCAAGAGCAGGATTCTGGTCCCAGACACGCACGTTTCTTACACGTCCTCCGACTCGCCCTGACCCCGGCCCCTGAGGCTGCTGAGACGCAGCGCCTGCCCGGTGCTGGGGACCAGCTGGCCCGCTGCCTAGGGTGGTGCAGATCACAGGAGGCAATTCCCTCTGTGATGTTTCCCCATCAGGGTCTCTGCTGGGCTGGCCCGTGACCTTGGGCAAGAGATGCAAGTGACACAAGTGCCCTTAGCCTCAGTGACCTGGACTGTAAAGTGAGAGAATCCTATTTCTCTCCTTATTTTCAGACCTAATTTTTTTCCCTAATAGGTCTCACTCATCCACCCACCCATTCACCCACCCACCCATCCACTCGTTCATTCATGGTGAATTCACGCACCCACCAAGGGCAGAATATATGTCAGGCCTATGGGAGCTGAAAACCAGATAGCTCCTGCCCTCCCTGTGCTGACAGTCTCTCTCCGTGGCATTGCCAGGTGGGAGCGGGCTCCTTAAAGGGGGCTCAAAGGTGAGGACCCTCCCCATCAGGCTTGTGCTGCCCCAGGGGAGTCTGTCCATATGTCCGTGGCCACGTGTCCGTGGGCTGGCTGGGGCCTGGGACATGTCCCCTCCCCCGTCTGTGTCAGTGTCCCTGGGTCCTGGCGCGAGTCAGACCTCCCTGCCCCTGAGTCAGGGTCTGCTTTCATCCACAATCCTACCCCAGTGTGGACAGGAGCCTCGCACCCGGACCCCAGCCCTGCCTGCAGGGTCCCCCACCCCCACTGAGCGGGGCCTGCCCTTGTTCTCCCAGGGAGGACCCATGGCGCGTGGCCAAGATGGTCAAGTCCTACCTGCAGCAGCACAACATCCCGCAGCGGGAGGTGGTCGACACCACCGGCCTCAACCAGTCGCACCTGTCCCAGCACCTCAACAAGGGCACCCCCATGAAGACGCAGAAGCGAGCCGCCCTGTACACCTGGTACGTCCGCAAGCAGCGAGAGGTGGCCCAGCGTAAGTAACAGCACCACAGCCCTGTCTTCCTGACAAGCTGGAGGGGGGACTGGGAGCTTCCCCACCTGTTCCTCAGACAGGCAGCGCGGGGAAGGTCAGCGGGACCCATCCAGCCTTCATTTCTATTCTGCGCACGGCACCCTGGGAGAGGGAAGTCGGGCTGGTCCTGGGCATCCAGTGATGGATAAGCTGGGCCCGACCCCAAGAGCTGTTGGTGGGGAAGGAGAAAGACCGTGTGATGTGGTGAGACATGAAAGAGCAGCCACGGCTGTAGCTCCTAGCCCCCCGCAGTGCGCTTGGCCCGGGGCAGTGCCACCCAACGTCTATTTCCAAGTGCTGAGCTGGCGGCAGGGGAGAGAGAGCTATTCCTCCTCAGGGAGGCAGGGCATCAGGCGGGTTCACACCAGCAGTACGGCCTTTAGACTCAGTTGTAAAAGTGTAAGTTGAATTTTGGCCCATGGAGACTGAGGGAAGGGTGTTTCGGGCAGAAGGAACAGCATGTGTAAAGGCTCAGAGGCGAGGTATGTGCTCAGGGACTCCCCCCCTGAACCTTGGGAAGACCTGGGCGCACTACCGTCGGGGAAGGGTGGACTTCCTCACTCAGGCCTCATCCCCAACCAGATCCCAAGTGCACTTCACACTTTTAGCCTGTCTATGTATAAAACAATTTCTAATATTTCTTTTCATTAATTATCCAGCTTTTTTAATATATATTTTTTAATTGACTTTAGAGAGGAAGGGAGAGATAGAAACATCAGTGATGAAAGAGAATCATTGATCGGCTGCCTCCTGCACGCCCCCTAATGGGGATGGAGCCTGCAACCCAGTGATGTGCCCTTGGGCAGAATCGAACCTGGGACCCTTCAGTCCGCAGGCTGACACTCTATCCACTGAGCCAAACCAGCTAGGGCAATTATCCAGCTTTCGAAAAGACAATACACACTTAGTTACGACGAAAAAACTACAAGAAAGACTTTACAATAAACATCAGATGTCCTTGTCCTAAAACAGCTACTGGCACTCCCAGTCTTGCAAACCCCCTCCTGGAGGAATTGTAGGCCACGCTAGCCATGTCTACAGACCCTGACACAGAAGCTCCCTTCCTCCCGCTCACAGAACGCCCTGGCCCCTGCCTGCCCCACGCCCTTGGCGGCCTGCTCAGGGACACGCGACAGACTCGTTTCCATTCAAGTGGAACCAGCTGACAAGGCTGGTGGGTCTTTGCTTTCAATGCACGTTAGGCTTCGGAATGCATCCCAGTGTGGAATGTTGACCATCGCGCTGAATCTACTCAGGAGACAGGCTTCCATTTTCTGCTCGACTCTGTGCAACCTGAGAGAAATAGTTAGTTCCCTGAACGCCACTGTAAAATGGGGTGGCATGTGTGTCAAATGTGAGCAAATGCTGATGCCCACCTGGAGCCCTGTGAGACTATAGCTTGGCTCAGCAGCAAAGTGTGCAGGGGTTGATTAGTGATGCCTGCCTTGGCCACGGGTTAAGAACGTGGTGGCACACGTTCGTCATCACTGGATTAGAGGGTTTCCAAGCTCTAGCTGGAAGCTGCTCTGACTCGGCCCCTGGGAATGAGGAAGAATCCGGAGTGTGGTCAGGAACTGAGGGGGGAGGGTGGGAGTGGCTGGTGCTCACAGCTGCCTGTGCCTACAGAGTTCACCCACGCTGGGCAGGGGGGGCTGATTGAGGAGCCCACGGGAGATGAGCTGCCAACCAAGAAGGGACGGAGGAACCGTTTCAAATGGGGCCCAGCATCCCAGCAGATCCTGTTCCAGGCCTACGAGAGGCAGAAGAACCCCAGCAAGGAGGAGCGAGAGGCGCTGGTGGAGGAGTGCAACAGGTCGGAGGGCGGCGGGCGGCAGGGCTGGCTTGGTCTGGGCAGGGC